GTGTCACTGGCCCTCATATGTGGGATCCGAACCGGGGCCCTCTGGCATCCCAAGCGAGTTCTTAACCATCGCGCCACTCGGCCGGCCCTAGACTATCTTCTTAATTCCAAACCTACTGCTTATTCTGATTTCCTGGTCTTGGCTTCTTGCCCTGCCCTATCATCCAAGCACATGCCCTGAAGTTACATATACATACCTCTAAGACACAAAAATGTCTACAAACAAAATTATTTAGAAGCGGTGTATAATAGCTAAAGAGCTGGGATTATAATTTAAAACACAAAAGCTATATCTAATAGGTAATGAGGTAGAGGTATTAATAATAACCATGGACTAAAAGGCTTCTAGAGGTGTTAGGCTCAATGCTAAGTATTTTATATGCCTTATTTAGTTGTCACCATCATTCTCTAAAGTAGGTATTATTAAATTCATTTCAAAGATAGGGAAACTGAGGCTTAGAAAGATTAAGTAACTTTCCCGAAATCAGTTACATAGTTAATAAATGTCAGAGCTAGCATCTGGTCCCAGATCATTTTAACTCCATACTCCAGGATCTTAATCACTATGCTATCCTGCCTACATGCAGAACTTCACATAGGTCCAGAAGGCCTGCATTCAAACCTGTTTACTTCATTTATAAGCTGAGTGACCTTGGACAAGTCACTCAATCTCTTCAAGCCTTGCTTTTCTTATGTATAAAAATGAAAAATATAACTCCCACCTAATTCACAGAGTAGCTTCAGGGTTTAAAGGAGATAATGTAAGCTAAGGTACTGTGTATGCTGAACACTGCCCTATGAAGATATGCTGATGTCGTTACATGGTATTTTTAGGGTCATTGATGATGCTTTTCATTTCTAAGTGCATTCCTCGATTTGAGTTCAAATGAGAGATGTCAGTCTCTAGGAAGAAAACATCTTAAAATAAAAATGAAAACAATAGGAATAAAAGGTACATTTTTTGTGTGTGTGTGACAGCAGGCAGAGTACCAAATGTTACCTGGTTCCATGGGCTGCATGGGGCCCTCGTTTTTAGTCATCGCTTTCTCTGGCACATCAATTGTAGACAGCCACATAGGAATTGAACGGGGGTAACAGCGAACAGGTGGCCTAAGAGCCCCTTTAATTGGAGGTAGTACTTGTGTCATCTGAAAAGGATCTAGGGAGTTCGCCTTTAAAATAAAAGGTTAAACAAACTGTTAGATGATGTTATATATTTAATATAGACATCAACTACCCTGTGGTGGCTAAAAATATTTAAGAGACTTCTAAGTTGGGCAACGTCTCACACCTTTCACTTTAAAATAATACCCAAGGGCTCAAAAATGTTTTGTTCTGTTGTCTCTGTATCTAAGTTGCTCTGAATTGTCAATTTGGAAGCCTGTTTTTCACATGATGGGGAAAAGTATGTGAGTGTTTTCTCTGCCTTCCCTGAGAAACAAAAAAATTACTCATGAGGGCCGGCCGAGTGGCGCGATGGTTAAGAACTCGCTTGGGATGCCAGAGGGCCCCGGTTTGGATCCCACATACGAGGGTCAGTTACACTGCCCTCCACAGCTAAGATGCTGAACAACAGCTCAACCTGGAGCTGGGCTGCCGTGGGTCGCTGGCGATGGCATGGGCTGCAGCCCCTGTGGCAGTGGGTTGCCATGGGCTACCGTGTGTAGCCAGCAGCCAGCGTGAGCGGCCAGCAGCCGCAGTGA